CCCCAAAACCCCAAAACCCCAAAACCCCAGCATAAAGTTTACAAGGTAAATGAGTCAAAACATTATTGCCGTTTAAAATTTTTACGTTTAAAATATAATTCAATGTTAAAAACTGTCTGTAATATTTCAAAAAATTAGGAGCACCTTTTCCAATTATACAACAAAATATATCAGACCCATGCTACTCTCTTCCCTTCTTCCCATTAACCTTTCTTAGTTTTTCCAGAAGCTGAGGTATAAATACCGACACCATCTTATTTACCGTTTCTCCACTCTCCATCATACTTTCTGCCATCTGGCCAGTAAAAGACTCCATGACCTTCTTTTTTATCATCAATATACTCTCCTTCATATCTTCTGTTGTCTGGCCATTGGAAAATTCCACTGCCCTCCATCTTATTATTCTTCCATTGACCAGTATATATTCTACCGTCTGCCCATTGATATGCTCCTTCACCTTCAATGTTATTATCGATAAATTAGCCATCATAGGTGCTTCCATCTGCCCACGTAAATTTACCATGACCATGTTTCTTTCCATCGATATAGTCCCCTTAGTAGCTAGCTCCATCAGGCCATGTTTCAAGACCTCTGCCGTGTTACTTATCATCTCTCCATTCACCCTCATACCTGGCTCCATCTAAATGAGCATAAGTACCTAATCCATGAGCTTTATCATCCTTCCATTAACCATCATAAACATCTCCATCTGCATGAATCAGTCTACCTTTTCCGTTAGCTTTATTATCTCTCCACCAACCTTCATATACTGAACCATCAGGCCAAGTCTGGATACCTTTACCTTATCTAACGGCTGTGCCTCTTAACCTATACATAATAATAATATGTAATTCTATTCTTCTTACCATTCTCCTTAATATCTTGCTCCATTTTCAAGTGCAATAGTTTATCTCATTTCTCTTTAACCATAACTTGTATCATCTCTTCCGTATTCAAAAGGGTGTAGCTGCTCTCTTATTTTCTATAATTAAGATAAAATCATAAATATTGGGGAATATACCTAAACCTCAGGATTATCAAAATTTTCAGGTCCATTATAGTCAAAATGATTCATCATAGACTTTGCTCCTAACTGTGCACGAATGGCATTTACTTGCCTTCTAGCCAATTATCCTCTGAAAAAGGATTATAACTTGATGATATATCTAAGTTTGTCCTTAGTCTAGAAATTGCTCTGATTTAAATAGTCCGTATTCAAGTTATTAGCGTCTGAGTCGTTTTTTCCACAACAAGCAAATGAATTACCCATTTTATTGTTAAATTCTAACAAATCTATAAAAAATATATAGTTTTATTACGTTTAATTTGCTATTAGTAAAAAATATTCTTTAATTTGATTGTAGATTCTTGACTAAGGGGTTTTGGGGTTTTGGGGTTTTGGGG